CGCAGACACGCCGCCCCCCCCCCCTCCTTCCCTCCTGCCCCCTCCTCCTCCCTCTCGCCCGGCCCACCATGCCATCCAGCGGCCGCGACGCGGCGCCCGGTGTCCTGTCCGGCGGCACTCTGTCCCCTCTGGCCATCAGCCTCATCGTATGTCTCCCTGCGGGGATTCGCCCCTTCTCGCGCCTCGCCCCCGCCCCCGCCCCGGCCGTCGTCTCACGCCCATGCGCCCTGGCCTCCGCCGCCCATGCGCCCTGACCTCCGCCGCCCATGCGCCCTGGCCTCCGCCGCCCATGCGCCCTGGCCTCCGCCGCCCATGCGCCCAGTCTGGCGGTGTGGCCGGGACATGCGTCGACATTGCCCTCTTCCCGCTGGACACGCTGAAGACCCGCCTGCAGCACCCCCTCGGGTTCCAGGCGTCCGGCGGCTTTCGCGGGGTGTACGCCGGGCTCGGGTCGGCGGTTCTCGGCTCGGCTCCCAGCGGGGCGCTCTTCTTCATGACGTATGATCTGCTCCGGCGGCGCCTGGCCCAGGTGCCGGGGTTCCAGCTGGAGGCCGGCGCGGCCGGCGGCCCGGCCCGGCCCAATGTCCTGGGGCACCTGGTGGCTGCTAGCCTCGGCGAGGTGGCCGCCTGCCTGGTCCGCGTGCCGACCGACAACCTCAAGCAGAACATCCAGGCCGCGCACTTTGCCTCCATGCGGGATGGCCTGGCCCAGCTGGCCCGGGGGGAGGGCCTCCGCCGGGGGCTCTTCCGCGGCTACGCCAGTACCATTGCCCGCGATGTGCCCTTCACCTGTGTGCAATTCCCGCTGTACGATTGGCTCAAGCGCCGGGCGGCCGGCTGGCGTGCGGCCGGCCTCGCCGGCGGGGACCTCCGCCCGGAGGAAATCCTCACCGGCCCGGAGATGGCCCTCTGCGGGGCGCTGGCCGGTGCCACGGCCGCCGGCGTGTCCACCCCGCTGGATGTGGCCAAGTCCCGCATCATCCTGCATGATCGCGGGCGAGGCACCGGCCGGGCCGGGCCCGCCCGCCCGCCCCCGGGGGCCCTGCGCATGCTCTGGCAGATCTACCACCAGGAGGGCGGCCGGGTCCTCTTCCGGGGGGTTGTCCCCCGGGTCCTGTGGATCGGCGTCGGCGGGTCCATCTTCCTCGGCATCTACGAGCAGGGCAATGCCGTACGCCGCCGGGGGGAGGCGCGCCCCACGCATCGGACCGGGGGGAGGGGGGGGGGGTCGGCCACCGCCGCGTTCCTTCTCGCCCCCCCCCCCCGGCCCTTTCCTGCCCTCGCGAGCGCATTTCCAAATACAGCCACCCTAGACCGCATGTCCGTCGGCACACAGGGAATGGTGTTCCCTCCCTGATCCAGGGGTTCAGCGGACCAGTCGCGTTGGCTGTTCGGTGTTTCCCCTTTGTCTCCCTGCTGGCGCGTGCGCCCCTGTCCGCCCCCCCCCCCCTTTCTCTCTCTCCCTCTCTCGGCCGGGTGTGGTCGCGCCCACACGGCTGGGGAGGGGCGCCGGTGGCCGGACGCAGACCGGGGCCCAGCGTGTGTGTGTGGGTGCCCCCTGCGCCGCCCGGCCCCGCCGCTTCGGAGGTGCTTCCCGTTTCGGCTGCTGCCAGTGGTCCGGTGGAGCCAGGCGGCGGGGGGGAGCTTCGGTTCCGGGGTTGGGGGGCTTTCGCACGGGGTCCGGCGCCACCTCCCGCGCCCCCGCGCATGGGGTGGAATGCGCGCTCGCGCGCCCGGGCGCGCGGGACGTTCCCAATTCGGCAGGGCGTCAGACCGCCAACGGTCAGGCCCCCTCCCCCCCCCTTCCTGCCGAGCCGCGTTCTCATTGTCCGGGCCTCGAGCGTCTGTGTTGGCGGACCTGCCGCACCCCTGCCGCCGGCTGCCCCTGGCCGGCTGCCTCCCCCCCCCTTAGGAATGAGCGATCTACATCCAGGGGGGGGGGGGGTCCATGCCCTGCCTCTCGGTCCGTCCTCGCACCAGCCGCTGGACAGCACCCGCGCCCCGTGCCCACTGCCCCGGTGAGGGCGTCCACGCACACACCGCAGACACAAAGCCCTCCTGGGTGGGCGGTGGTCGTGCACTCGACCGGCGTGCACAATCACCTGTCCTCCCCCCTCCCCGCCCTCTGCTGCTCCGGCCCCTTGCCTCGGGATCCGTGCCGACGTCCGGCACGTTCGAGCTGGCCCTCCCCGCCTCCCCGCCACGATGGATGATTCTCTGCGTATGTCCTGTGCCGGGCCTCCCTCGCTCTCGCCTCCCTCTTTTCTAACCCCCCCCCCTGGCTCTGTGTCCGATCCGGCGACGAGTCAGTCTCCGGCAGCGAGCTTGTCCTGCTCATCATCGCCCTGGTGGTCGCCGGCCTCATTTCCTGCTGCCGGTACATGTGCTCTCGTAAATCCAAGAAGGCCGACGTGCGTTTCCCCCGCCCCCCTCGCGTCCGCATCCCCGCGTGTCCCTCCTCGGGCTGACCCTTCGTCTCTGACGCCCTCTCGCCCTCCGGGCCATACGAACACACACACGCACACACTCCCGTGCTCATCGCTCCCGTGCTCATCGCTCCCTCCGACCCTCAGAGCCTGCGTTCTTACCTGAAGGGTGCGCCTTCATCCCCGCTTTGCCCGGGCATCTCCCCTCGCGGTACTTACCTCCCCGCCTCCCATTCCGCCCCTCCCCCCCCCCCACTGCCGCCTTCACACGCAGAGCTCAAAAAGTTCGGCGAGCCCAAGTACAAGTATAATAAGGACTTCGAGACGGTCGGCTCCTTCTCTTTCACCTACGACGATACGTCGATCTTCGTGCCCGGGCGCAAGTTCTATGACTCCAAGTTGTACACCCGCTCCAGCTCGGACTATGTCTTCCTGCGCATCCACCGAAGTGCGTGCTTGTAGGCCTCTCCATTCCCTTGCGCGCTCTCCTCTGATGCTCCTGTCTTCGCCCCTCCCCCCCATCCCCCGGCGCCAGTTCACACCGGGGACAATGCCTTCGCCTGCAAAAACTTCCGGCGCGAGATGACCATTGCCCAGTGCGTCCCCCTGTCGCATTCTCCTTCCTCCATCTCCTCCTCTCCGCACCTCTCAAGCTCCTTCCTGGCAACGCGCCCTCACACCCGATCCCCCCTGGGGCCCCTTTCCACAGGCAGCTCCGAGACAGCCCCCGGTTCATGCGGGTGCTCGGCTTCTCCAGCCCCGTCCCGATGGTCATCTACGAGTATCTGCCCATGACTCTGGCGGCCTTTGTCGCCTCGCCCGGGGTGCTGCCCTTCTTCGACGCCTTCTGCCTTTTCCGCGATGTCTGTGCGTCGGCTCCGCTCCTCCCTCCGCTCTTTCTGTCCCTCCCGCTCACTGCGGCCCCCCCCTCCCCGGTCCTTCTTCTCCGCGCGCGCTCTCTCTCTCTCTCTCTCTCTCACCACCACCACCACCACCACCACTAGGCATGGCGCTCTTCGAGATCAACCGCATGGGGCACTGCTTTGGCGCCCTGTCCGATGAGTTCGTCTGGATCAAGCCCGCGCCGGCGGGGTCTCCCTCCCCCTGGATGGCGGTGCTGGGAAGCTTCCACCTGGCCATGGATGCCAAGACTTCCATGCTGGCAAGCCACATCCTGTCCGACTGCCCGCGGCTCTTCATCGCTCCCGAGGTACATCCCCTCCCGCCGGCCCGTCGGATGGTCGCTTTGCCTCTCCCCGCCCGACGTGGCTGCTGCGTTCGCACTCACCCCCTCCCTCCTCCCTTCGGTCTTCATCATCGCCAGGTCCACGCCGCGGCCGAGGCCGGGTTCAATGTCTCCGGCAAGGACTTCTTCTATTCGGACATCTTTTCCCTGGGCACGGTTGGCGCCACCCTCCTCCAGCGCTCGGTCCCATTCCACGGTGCGCATCCTCCCGCCCGCCTGCCTCCCGCCCGTCTCCTGCACCCCCCTGCCTTTTGATTAGCCCCCCGCGGCTGACCCTCTGCTCATCCCCCCCCGCCCCCCCCCCCCCGGTCGCACAGACTCTTCCCTGGAGGTGGCGACCGCCAGCATCAAGAGCAGCATCGAAATCGTGTTCCCCCTGCCGGAGGCCGAGGCACACATGCACATCCCGCATGGGTTCCTGGCGGAGCTGCTCAACAAGTGCCGACTGGCCGATCCCAATCTCCGGCCGGACCTGATGACCGTGCTGACCGAGGTGGCACGCATTTTCGCCACTCCCCCCTTGGACCGCCTGTCGCCCGAGGACTTCCGCCAGGCGCCCGACGGCAGCCTATTCTCCGTGGTCATTGAGAGTTACCACCGCGAGCCGGTGGTCAGCCTGGCTCCCACCCCCGAGAAGCCCGATGACATGGTCGACTCGCCGGGGCTGTCGCGGGTCACCTTTGCCGATCCTCCCCACGACGAGCACCATGGTCTGCCGTATGACCCGGAGGCCTACCCCATGGGCGAGGTGGTACACTCCCCTTCCGGACCCGGGCCCAATGCCTACATCCCCATGCCGACCGTGCCCGGGGGATCGGCCCCCGCCTTTGCTCCTTACCCGCCGCCCGGTGGCGCGGCGCCCTACCCGCCTGCCGGTGGCGCGGCGCCCTACCCGCCGGCCGGTGGTGCCGCGCCCTATTCGCCACCTGGTGATGCCGCGCCCTACCCGGCGCCCGGTGGTGCCGCGCCCTACCCGGCGCCCGGTGGTGCCGCGCCCTACTCGCCTCCATCCACAGATGCGAGCTCCTCTCCGCCACCCTCTGCCGATGGGCCCTCCTCTCCGCCGCCCCCCGAGAACATCACCTACCCGCCGCCCGACGACAGCGGTTCCCCTCCGGGCGATGCCCCCCACTCGCCCCACTGAAGAAAAGCATGATCCTTCTCCTGATCCCGACAGGGCTGCCCCCCCTGCCCCCTTCTTGTGGTCGTGTGTCCTCCCTCCCCGCCGCTTTGTCCGGTCGCCTCCCGGTGCATGCCGGAGCCCCGCGGCTTGGCCCCCCTCGCGCCCGGCCGGACACGACACGGCGCGCGGTCAGCACCTGGCCGCAATAAATCCAATGTTCCAGAACGCCCAATCACGCGCGACCCTGGGTTCACACGCTCTGCCGGCTGTTTCAGACGTCCGTTGGCACTCGCGCGCCCCTGCCGCCGGCCAGGCGGGCCGGAAGTCGCCCCCCCCTCCCCCGCGCGCGCGCGCCCCCTCCGCACCTTCTCCCCAGCTCCATCTCACCAATCCGCCGGCAGAGATCTCGCAGGTGGCCCATTTTCCCCGGCAGTCAAAGGCCGGGATGGGGTGGAGGGGCTAGGCGCCGCCGATCGG